CCGTGAGATCCCGTGTTCTCAGAAGTGCCATCCCCTACGAGCGGTCAGGGTACAACCCTGTGGCACCGCACCACCGCATTGCTTCTCCCTGAGCCGTGGGAGAGTTCGGCTTCGGCTCATATAAGATAGGGGGGAAGGTGCAGATAAGGGCAACTGTTGCCCTCAAACTACAGCAGGTGAAACATCAACCCAACAGAAAGCGGAACGGGCTGTAATCTACAATCTCAGCCACGTCAACTCCTGCTGGCTGGAGGCACTGTAAGGTCAGGCAGGAGCGCGGTGGGAGCATGCGTGGGAGCATGCGTGCACACACGTGCGCACAAGCCCAGCAATGCTCCGGCAGCAGCGCTCGCTGCGTGCCACAAGTGTTTTTTGCAGGATTACAGAATTACCCAAGTGAGCTTTTTATTCCTCCTTTTCCATTTTTATTCAGCAAAACGCTCATGCATTTAGAGAACACGTAACAGTTTCATTAATTAGCTTAAGATGTTTAACTAAAAAAGAACAATCCAGAAGAGATTACATTTCAACTAAATGTATCTTCTTGCAGTTGGTGAGCCTTTTTTTATAGCACTGTATATATTGTATCCTCTCCTGGCAGCGATCACAAAGCAGGAAAGAGAAAAGTTGAAAGTCTCAGAATTGTGCATTCATAATTAGATGAGACATTTCCTTCGAGAGGGTAATGCGAAACAGAAGTAACAAAGCAAAACAAGAACAATCTCCTTTATGCTGCACACAGATTACATCATTATTCATATGAATTCCTTGCACATTATTCCTTTTGTGTCCTGCACTGATCAAGCATTCTCCCTTTTCAAAAAAGCCTCCGGACAGTTTCATCAAGGGTTAAAGCTTAAAAAGGAGGGGGAAAAAAAAGAAAAAAAAGAAATCCTTGTAAAAGAATCCAGCAGCGGGAATGAAACTGAAAGACCCCATACACGATGGCCGCAACAGCTTAAAAATAACCCATCAGCCTGGATGAAAAGCTAAAACCCATAGTCAGAGGCATTTTAATAAATGCGTTTAATGCTTCCACTCAGCTCAAAGAAAAACAGTTGCAAAATGCACGTTGAAAGCAAGAGTGAGTGTTAGTGGTTTGAGGATGCTGAAAGCCATAATGTTATTAAAAAAAAAAAAAGCCAGATGTTCCAGGAATACTACAATATTCTGCAACTCCTTTCAAAGTTTGAAAAGAAAGAAAAAAAAAAGAAAAAATCCACACCAAAAATAACCCCGCTCCTTTTCAAGCCGCTTGCTTCCCAAAATAGCCTGCCCTATTAAAAAAAAGAAATAATAAAATAAAAGCCCGCGCCCGCCAGAGGAGAGGAAGCGAGGGACGGCAGCAGCGCGTTCCGCAGCCAGGCTCCCAGTACAACCCAGTACAGCCCAGCAGAGCCCGGGGCTGGCGTGGGAGAGGCGGTGCGGCGTGCGCAGCAGCCATGGCGCGCAGGCAGGGCTCTGCCTCCGCACCAGCCGCCGCCGCCATCCGCCTGCTGCCGAGCCAGCGCAGCCAATCGCCGTCCCCAGGCAGCACAAGATGGCCTTTGAACTCCCCACCAGCAACTTCCTGCTGTTTTTAGAGTACACACAGTGCAATGCAGTATGTCTGTCAGCTATGCGGCACAAAGGAACAGCCATTTTGTGACTGAACTGGACCCGCACCAAAATGCCAGGCGGTGCAGCCTCCCCTGCTCCTTTCAGGGGGAAATCGGGGCTTCCCGAGCGCTACCACGACAAGAAAGGGATGCCCTCTGCTTTCATCGGCAGCCAGGGAGGGCAAATTTTGTTTAACATCTTCGATTCCCTCCTCCTCCCCCCCTCCTCCGCCTTCCAAATCCTCTTTCGTATGTAACTGCATCTTCATAAAATGGCTGCCACGCAAAACGAGGGTGCTCTGCTCTGCGAAGGCTGCAGCACACGCTGCACAGCACTCTGCCTCTGCAAGGTGGTCGCTGAGCGCAAAACCCACCATTTCAAACCTCAGACTTCCAGCTCTCCGAACAGAAAACAAACTGAGATCTAACCCACCACAACCCCTTTTATTTCCCCAAATCAATAAGGTTTTAGTGCTAGAGAAGCTAGGGGCTGGACACAGACGCATAGGTATGTTCAGCCCTGCAGCTTCTGCAGCAGAAACTGTTCCCACCCCGGGGTATTTAGGAGGTGCAAGAGCAACCGCAGCCAACGCGGGTCAGGGGAAACAAGAGGAACACCGTATCCACCGCGTGTCAATTGCTATCCCCTACAAAACTCACTCCTGGACTTCAGGGGGACCCCAGCCTGCCTCATGCCTCTGACGTTCCCATACGGGTTCCACCATGGATGTACCCTCTCGCAACACCTGCCTTTCAGAAATGCAACACAGAAGATGCTAGAAAACACACCAGGGTTTGGTTCAATTATTTAATGTGAGTCCCAGATACACAGGTGGCGGTCATAAGTAACTGCAGCATCCCAACTTTTATCCCAGGTGGAGAAAGTTGCATGAAATCAGCCAGCTTCAAGTTTGGAAACATTTACTGTCAATATACAAAGGATAGGTGTTGCCGTTCACCTAGAAAGGCACCAAGCACAGCCCTCAGCTTACAAACTGTAAAGAGTTAACACCACTTCCCTCCCCAAGAATAATCATCTGTTTTGGGAGAATTCTCAGGTATTTTTGTTTATTCAGCACACGCCTTTGCATTTCCTTAGGACTGGAAAGGTAGGAGTCAATTCCAAACACATTCCCCAGTAAGGACACGAAGGTGGTGCACAGGAATTGTGTTTTCTTCTGCCTTAACACCTTTCTCTAGTCCTGCATCTTTGCTTCTCCACCCCAGGTGAGTGGCACCGGCCGTATCTACCTTTTCCGTCACCCAGGCTCCCACCAGGGTCTAGGTAAGAGGACTTCACGTATTTCCATGGATGCTGAGCTGGTCTCACAACCAGGGAGAAAGCTGGCCAGCAGCACGTGAAGTGCAGACATCGGTGCATTTCTGGGCTACAGTAAAGCAAAGTGGTGGCTTTACTTCCTAGAAATCATTTCCCCTACAACTTGAAGTCAACCTCAGGAAGTAAAGCACGTTTTACGACATTCAGCTGACTCACAGCTCAGAAATAAGCTCAACAGGGCTCACTTACAAATATCCTGTACTCAATTGTTCCCACACTTCAGGCCAGTGGACGTTACCCACAATAAGTTCATTTTGAGAACAAAAAAAAAAGAAAAAATCATAAAGGGGGAGAAGGGAAACCTCACACAACAGGTGTTACACAGAAATCGATCAATTATGATATATAACCTTTCAATGAAAACACCAAAAGCACACATGAGAGAGTATGCAAATACAATACCCCTAAGGACAAAAAAAACCCAAAGGTCTTCTTCCTGTGGAACTACTGCTAGATGTCTCCAATTGCATCTCCTATTTAGCATATTTCTAACACTGATTAAATACCTTAATTCAGATTTCCTGAAAAAAATATATTTATTCTTGCTCTTGCTGATAACCCACACTTAAAAAAAACCCATGAAGACTTAGATAAAATGAACCATGTGTTACAAAAAAAAAATCGACTTTTTTAGGCAATATTTTGTGTGCAGTATATACAGTAATATAAAGACATCATGGTTTAAGAGTCTGATGTGTTTTTAAACTGTGTTATTATAAAAGCTCTGTATAGGTGCTATATGTAATGCTTCAGCAGTCCCTGAGCCTAATTTAGTTAATAATAATTTCAAATTAAATGAACTTACCTATATCCATTTTAGGATTTAAAATCTGACTGCAATTTTAATAAATTCAGAATACCATCCAAGTTTATGCTAGAAGGTTACAGTAATTTGATAAAATATATATTCCCACAGTATTTCAAGTTTGTGCGTGCAAGGAAGGTTAAATACTGGACATCAAGAATACTATTCAAACACCTGCAAACATCACATAGAGCACATGTGATACAACAGACAGTTCAAAATTCTTTTTTATTAATGTTGGTTAAAAATTACTGAAGACAACACCAGAGAAAAATAAACAGGCCACGATTCAATCAAAATTAACAAAATGCAAAACTCAAGTGTATTTACAAACTAGAAACCAAAAATGCATATAGTTTAATTTCCAATTTTTGAAAAAGCCGACTCTAAATACAAAATGAGCAATTCAGTAATTATACTTCTGCATTCCCAGCACACAAACATTTCCAGTATTTCATACTTTTCCCACATCAAGGTTAAGTTTATAAAAATCTGTAAAGAATCTCATTACTCAACAAAAGTAAATAAAAACACTCTGAACAAAAATATATGAAACAAACAAGCAAAGCATCTGGAGGGTCTTGTTACCAGTCCCAGTGTGTATTTTACAACACGAAATGCTATCACTAGCAGGAGAAAGTCTGGTTAAATTGTATCAAAATGTTCTAAAATACCTAAACAGTATCAAAGTTCTACAAGCTCAAATAAAATTTGAAGTAAGGGGTATCGGACAAACAGGCACTTTCCAGTTTATATTTTAAAATGAGCTTTTTTTCATTCATGTAACTTTTCCTTGTATCTATTTACTATAATTTACTACTACACCAGGCTTCTGTATGGCCCTCAGTTAAAGTTTAGACTTCTGAGATTCTTCAAAGAAAAATTTGCCTTGTATGTAAAATGGTGCAATGCAGCAATGGCTAAACCGACAAGGTCATTTTTCACAGCACAAAAAACCTAAAAACTGAAATTCAAAAGCTGGAAAAACATAATACAGAGAAAAGGGCTCCCCTGAATAAAGGTACAGTACCTTTTGACTATGACATGGGCCCTTAAGTCACAACACAACTTTCAGAAATTGCTACCAAAAAAAATTAGGGTGTGGCATGCTAACAATCTCAAGGTCATTCCTTAAAAAGGAAGCAAAATCAGTAAAATGTTTTGTATTAAGCACTGACAGTAACCCAAGGCTGTCAAAGTAAACAGGGTATTCACAGGTTTTACAAAAAAAAAAAAAAAGTAAGTTGATAGATCATACCTCGATGCATTGCTGTGGACTGAACCCTCCTCTCCTTGGCTTTTGTCCTTATTTCTCATCATCTTTTTATTCTTAAATATTAAGAGGGGGTCAGGGGTGTCTGTTTGCTTTGAAGTCCTGTGCCCAGGTATTTACTGTCAAAAGTTGAAAGAAAGGTAAGGTCCCAGTTCGTTTCACTGGCTTTCATTATCAGGAACAAAGTCCTGACGCTGCAATGATATTGTTATAACAATACACAACACTGATCAACACGGCAAAACGGAGATTTAAAACAAATAATCGTTTTTAGAAGAAAAATCCGAGAATAAACACAGTAGAGGAGCATCCTGCAAACTTTCCCAAAGTAACACTGGATGCAAATAATCTCTGTATCTTATTGCGTCATCCCAATACAGCTCAAATCGGTCGAAAATCAAAGTATTCAAAACGGCAGAAATCTAAAAATTATTAATAATAATTGCTCACCTACCTGATCCATGCACCGCCGCCAGGACCAAGTCGATATTAGTTTCGGGTAGTGGAAAAACATTAGATCCAAAATATTTAGAGTTATAACGATAAAATACGAATTTCAGAGAATGAAAAAAAAATATATATTCTAATCCCAAAAATATGCTGCCGATAAAGCAAAAGAAGCGATAATTAGTAGAAAAATGTCCGGGGGAAAAAAGCTCATTAGGAGAGCGCACAAAAATGGAGGTACGCCATGGCTTCTAAGCTGGAAAAACAACGACCTGGGCTCTCTCCACGGCTTCTTCTTTCCAGCAAGGCACGAAAAGGGAGCCCTCAAAAGCTGCTTTTCTGCCCGAAAAAGGTCCGCTCGGCCCCCGATCAGTGCCTAGGAGAGGCGAGGGGCTGTGGGGGCCCCCTGAGGCTGCCCGAAAGTTAGGGAAAGTTGCGTAAAGTGTTGGGGAAGGCACGGAGCTGAGCGCGCTCTCTCTAAGGCACAGCCGCCATCTAGAGCTCCTTCCCAGCTCTGAGCTCTGCCTTTGATTGACACTCTCTACATTTACCCCACAACTCAGGTGATGTACCATAGACCCACCCCTTCATTTCTACCAAAAAAAGAGATAGCCTCCACCTAAAGGGTGCCTGCTACCCCCCACAGCCCTGGCTCCTTCCAACTACCCCAGCTGAAGGGGCACCTTAACCCCATGTGGCTCAGACACCCTTTTGAAACCAGAAAGAAATGGAATTTGTGCCTTTTGTTTTAAAGATTTGCTAAATATTTCAGTGCCTGGGCTAAAATTACTTCCTCCCTGGACAGGAAGTGGTGCTGTTACAAGCCATTTTGAAAGAATGGCAGTGGAGCTAAGAGCCATGTAGCCCAGCAGCAACCCACCTGGGGGCTCACCCCACCCAAGGGGTAGCTTTTTTTCAATTCAGTGGCAGTATCCCCAAACAACAGCTCCACCATTTCATCCCCCACCACTTGCACTTAAGGCTTGGAAGAAGAGGGGCCGGCGCTCCAAAGAGAGCCCTGCGTTGCTGAGAGCCCCCTCTGGCTCCACAGCGCCTCCCTAGTGGTTCTCCCCTACAACAAAAATCCAACCGCTACACCATTTTCATGGGTTATGTGAAGGCGCTACTGTGAAATAAGTCTTGACACCAATAAAAGGGTTATTTCTAATTCACGTTCTTAACCCATTCATGTTCGTTAACTGATTTTAACACAACAAATGTATTTTAGAGCCGTACAATAGCCAAGCTGTAAAACTGGAACTCAAGCGACACCTCGAATACAACATCCTAGCATCAAGAGGATGTACCCCAGAGGAAACGGAGGACATCCAAGCATCCCCTAACCTCTTGTATTCGGACAACCAGTTGTCTTCCCACAAGCAACAGACTCCTTAAAGCGCAAGGACATCTTGCATACTCGCAAACATGGCAACAAGAGAGCGGAATCAGACACCGGGGGAGTGCTGAAGGGGAAAAGGGTAATGCGCCAGTCTGGGCTTCTATGGGGACATCCATGGCACAGCATCCCAACATCGGCTTCTACCAGTAGAACCAAGACAGTCCCCATCAACTCCTCCACACATCTGCCATTCACATCCTCCAACAACCTATCATCTCTCCACATCAAGAGGTCTGAGTAGGTACGCTCTGGTGCCAGAGTCCATTTGGAAGACTTTCACTTTACCGATTATTTACAGAAGCCCCATTGCACCTAAACTACAAGAACTAAAAAAAAAAACCACTCAAAAAAACAACCCACCACACAAGACCATTCCAAGCAATTTTGGTAACACTAAGTAAATCCACTTGTCTGAATGGGGATCCCTATAGATTGGTCCCGGTATCCAACTCCACCATATAACACATGGCAAAACCAAACCTGAGCAAGTCTGCATCATCAAAAGAGCTCCATTAAACAGGCACGAACAATTCATCATGGTAAAAACGGGTATTTACAAAGAACTCTGAGCAGGCCAAATGGTTAAACACACAATGGGGTTTTGTTTTGTTGTTGTTGTTTGTTTTTAAAAGAAAACACCGAGGTTATCTCAGCACCAGGTTTGTCATCTTGGCCCTCCAGCATAAAACAAAGACAGCTATGAATTGCAGGTGAAACATACAGAGCAAGGTGGATACAGTTTAGAGGTTTGATCCACAAGAAACTTGAAAGGAAATTGGTTTTTTGAACATTAGAACCACTTTAAAATTCATTTGTAAAAGTTAACACATCATCTATAGCCATATCAAAAGTAACTCCATTTTTTCCTCATCAAATACACAGTACAGTATCACTCAGCTAAGTCTACATTAAATAGCGGTGAAGCAGATTGGATGCTTATATAGAACAATTTTAAGACACAATAGACTGTTTAGGAAGTATGTTGTCCAGGAAATCTCTTAAGAAGTTTCTGTACTCAGACACAACCGAAGAAGCATACCTAAAACGTTACACAAAACATTCAAGTACTCCTTTATTGTCATATTTGCCCGGCCTTCAATTGATATCAATTCCATCTTAAAATAACTTCAGAGAATTCAGCAGAAGCACCCTGACAATAGGTCAGGTACTGACAAACCCCTACTATTAAGCACCTGAATGAACAAACCAGCAAATAAAAATTCATTGGAAGTCATGGCAAAGTGAAGATAATTTGCAAATGAAAACCACATTTTAAATCAAGTATAGCACAAAATTTTGCCTTGCCTTCAGTGCTTAGCAAGGAAGGTATTTTTCACTTTAATAGCAACCAAAAAAGTAACTCACTTCAATATCAACACAATAAAAAAAAATATTCACCCAGAAAGGACAAACACAAATCGTGAAAGAAACCAAAACCTTTTATTAAGTCACTTTAAAAAACATTACATTTTCTCCAAAGGGGTAGCAACAGATCTCTTACCAAATGAATTTGCCTGTACGCAACACAACCCAAGAGTAAAATTTTGCCACCCAGTCCTCAAACAGATCCATCATTGGATAGTCACTGACACAGTCCCCTGATTAATTCAAGTGCAAAGTCCATTTTGGTAGGATGATCACAACCCAGATCTTCTCTGGTTTAATAACACGAAAGTCCATGTTTTAACATCCTTCTCTTGGACAGACATATCACAGCACTCATGCATTAGTCCATTTCCTCAACCTCTCAATCAACAGTGGAACTGCCATCTTGGTGTCTCATTCGTAGACTCCTTTTGACACTCTTCATCTGATTGGATTCTTTATGGAAAATTAAAAGAAAAATGCTGTTGGAATACAGATTATATCTTTAAACTAAGACATTCAACTACTGTACCTTGAAGACAGTTTAAACATATAACTGATGCTTCATTCCTTATTAACACATTCAAGAATATCTACTTTTATCATGAGCAAACAATGTCAAATCATCAGTTCAAGAGTCAAAAGTATGAACTTTAACCAAAACTATAAAGTAGGGGAGGAATGATTAGAAGTTCAAGAACCCTTTCAGGCTCCATAAATTTCATTTGAAATTTCTCTATAGTGTTAAAACACTAGAGAAATCAATAGTGGGAAATTTGAGATATTTGCTCTGGCTACCATCTTTATTGGACTGAGCCATCTACTAGAGCTGTCTCTGCTTAGTGGAAAAACAAGTTTATTATAATAAGCCAAATTTTTTAACAACTGTCCATGCTACTTTCTTCAAAGACATAGATCCATCAAAACCAATGTGATAGCCATGAAAACCGGTTTCCTGTATACAGATGGTGACTAGAGACAAGACATTCCACCATCTTAACCCTGTCTTCCAGCTCATGTAAGACAAACAGTGCAACAGCAAACACACACTTATAAACAAATGGAATGACTGGTTTAGTTACTGGTGGGAAATGACATTTCAGAAATCAGATGAAAATGGTAACAAGTTACACTGGTTGCCTTTAGCAAGGCCACCATACTACTCCCAATCCATATTCCAACTTTACTCTTCATATAACAGCAACCCAGACCACAGGTGAATGACAAACCAAACTGACCAAATGACTTCCACATGGATAAATACAAACCAAACATCCTCATCTTTATATTTTTCTTCCAAGAAAAATAAGCTCATGTACTTAAAAAAACCCCACCATTACTCCTCCTAACAGGCAAAAATCAAGTACAGGCAGTTATTATGTGTTAAAAACATTATTTTAAAACCAATGCTAACTGCAGAAGAGCTTGAAATACAAAAAAGGTTTTAAAAGGTCTTCATGATTTTGAGCATCTAAACTCCAACATCAATTCATTCTTCTGAATATGGGTAGCTTTAATCTCATTTTAGTCTGAAAGCCAACTTCACCACTATGTTGTTCCCCTGATAATCCTGGGTAGATTCTTACGAAAAGTGATGAAGAAATTACCCATAGTACAGGAAAAATCAGTGGAGCCATCTAGTGGTCTCGGCCTCATCATTCCAGTTTCCCCAGTCTCATTTCAAAATAACCAGTTATAGCAAAGCAAAAACCAATGGAACCAGTGCAACAAGCCTCAGCCTGACTTTCACAACCGCCCATATGTCCTGTTCTATATTCCTCTACAGACTTCCTCATTTTAAATACAATGGAAAGGAATTACAGCACATAGAAGTAGAATACAGGATCTGGCAATTCACTTTGCTTTGCATTGTGCAACATGCATAGTTGGAATAGTATCCAACCACAGGATCTTCACATTTTCAGAACCAGAAATTGAACATTCAAAGTTTGGAGAAATTCTTTGTTTCAAGGATGCAACTCATCCTCAGTTAAGCCAGGAATTAAATATTTTGAAATTATTTTTCCCCCCCCCACACTAAACTGAATAAAGTTTTGGGGGGTTGTTTTGATTTTGGGTTTGGGGTTTTCTTGTTGTTTTTTTTCTTTGTTTGTTTTTTAGTTCTTATTGGTATACTAGCCTAATTTCAAATCCATTTAGGAATTTGAAGATAAATTAAAACTTTGAATAATTTTTAATGCTAAAGCCTTGACCAAGGTACTAAAACATGAAAAATAAACCACCAGAAAGTTGTCAATTGTTGTCACAATCAAATATTCAGAACTACTAACATGAGCACAGTGGAAAAAACCATAAATAAGACAGTTAAAATAATTTTTATAGTTATTGCAAGAAGCTTAACATAAGGAAATTTAATTACTGGCAGCAGCTTTCCCCACCACTCAAAAATGCAATTTAGTTACATGTTAGTCAACCTTGAAAGGCCCTTTTCAGTTGGGTTAGCCTTCTGCCTTAGACACTAATGAGACCTGCCAAAAGCAAATTTAAGGGCAAGTTTCCCTACTAGCTTCACCTGTATTTGGTTGTACCAAAAACATTGCAAGTAACCTCGCCACATTCATTTTCAACTCTTCTCTTGACCTTGTAAAATAATTAGCAGTAAATGGAACTGATGATATATTTAATTAACAACATGCTACAACAGCCCTTATTCTAAAAGTTACTCATACATCAAAAAGATGCCACAAGTAATGGCCAAAATATTAATAGCAATCTGTACAGTTTTTCATGTGAAATCTACATTTGCTTTAAAAGATTTCACAGCATTTGTTTACTTATGAATTAAGGACATTTTACTAAGAAGTTTCAATAATGTTGCAAAAATATACTCCTCCACTAAGACATACGCAGTGATCCTACACTTAAGGCAGCCATTGAATAGCCTTTTTTTTTTTTTGCACAATGATAAGTATCTCATTCCTTCTGCAACATCAGTTAGGCATCATCCCATTTTTCAGGCTTTATTATCTACTATTTACTGTATTTGTTTCCAAACACAGTATTTTGGTCATGATAAATAAGGGACATGCGTAGTCACATAATACTTTCAAAGTTCCTTCAAATCACTGGTAACATATTGACACTCCGTATCAACGGACACAAACCATCCCCAACCACACCTAAAGGTTATGGCAACAGTTTTGAAACATATGAGTTTACAAAGTTTTTCTCTTTTTTTTTTTTTGTAACTCTTC